TAAAAAGTGGGAAAAAAGAAAACACCAAAATGGATATCAGAGTGACTGAAACTTGCATTTAGGGTAGAGAGCTAAAGTAAGCTGAAGAAATGAGGGAGTAAAAGAGCTAAATAGAACATTTCAAATGGCAATTTTGGAAGACAAAGTCAAGTACTATGATGAATTGTGCAAAGACCTGGAGTTAAAAAATCAAAAGGTAAGAACACACTCAGCATTTCTCAAAGCAAGAGAATTCAAGAAAAAATGCAAGCCTCAAGTTGAAATGCTAAAGGATTCTATGGACAGAATACTGGATGATGCAGAAAGCACCAAAAGAAAATGGAAGAAGCATACTAAGTCACTGTACCAAAAAGAATTGTTAGACGTTAAAGCATTTAAAGTGACAGATTACAATTAAGAATAAATGGTATTGAAGGAAGAAGTCCAGGGTACACTGAAGCCATTGATGATGTAAACAAGTCTCCAAGATTTAATGAAATACAAATAGAAATGTTTCAACCAACTGAGTCAGTGCTAAAACTTATGCCAAGAAATCTGGCTACCCATTTGAAGATTTCCAAAGAAAGGTAACATAACAGAATGCAAAAATCATAGAACGATATAATTTATATCACAATCAAGTAAACTATGGCTGAAGATAGTTCATAAACAGTTGCAGCAGTACATTGACAGGGAGATGCCAGAAATTCAAACATGATTAAGAAGAAGTGGAACTAAACATATCATTGGTGATGTTAGATGAATCTTAACTGGAAACAGAATACCAGAAAGATATTTACTTGAGATTTACTGTGTAAAGGCATTTGACTTAAAAATCTATGTATAAAATTATGAACAATGGGTATTCCAGAACTTTAATTATGCTTATGAAAAACTTATATATAGGTAGTTATGTAAACAGAACAAGGAGATACTGAATGATTGAAAATCAGGAAAGATATATGTCAAGGTTGTATCCTTTCACCATGCTTATACAATCTGTATGTGGAGCAAATAATCTGAGAAGTTGGGTTCTATGAAGAAGAACATGACATCAGGATTGGAGGAAGATTCATTAGTAAACTGTGGTTTGCAGACAATACAACTTTGGTTGCTGAAAGTGGAGAGGACTTTAAATACTTTCAAAGAAGATAAAAGACAACAACCTTCAGGATGGATGGCATATCCATGTTAATAAAACCCTCACAACTGGACCAATAATCAACACCACGATATATGGAGGAATGTTTGAAGTTGTCGAAGACTTCCTTTTACTTTAATCCATACTCATGGAAGCAACAGTGAAGAAACCACAGAGCATGTTGCATTAGGCAAATATGCTGCAAAAGACCTCTTCAAAATATCAGTTTGAGGGCTAAGAGTGCCCAACCCAACCCCTGGTGTTTCTAATTGCCTCAGATGTATGTGAAAGTTGGACGCTGAATAAAGAACACCTTAGAAGAGTCTATGTATTTTACTTATGGTGTTGTATTGGCAAACTATATTGAAAACAACTTGGACTGCTAAAAGAATAAACATACCTGTTTTGGAGGAAGTAGAGTCAGAATACTCCTTAAAAGTTAAGAATGGTGAGAATTTCTCCCTCGTGTTTTTGGTAATGTTGTTAGCAGGGATCGATCACTCCTTTGAGAAGGAACTCATGGTTGGTAAAGTGGAGAGTTAATGTAAAAGAGGAAGAACACCAACAAGATGGATTGACACCATGGAAGCCACAATGGGATCAAACATAACTATTGTGAGGGTGTTGAAAGGTCAGGAAGTGCTTTGTTCTGTTGTGCTTAGGGTTGATATGAGTCGGAATCAACTCCATGGCATCTAACAACATTAATAATATACACATGGACCCCACCAGATGGAACAAACTAGAACCAAATTGAGTTCAAATTTGGGAAGAGAAGATGGAGAAGCTCAATATCATCAATCACAGAGGCTGACTGTGGAATAGACAGACTTTTAAGTGTTCATATGCAACTTCAAGTAGAAACCAAAGAAAATTAAAACAAGGCCACAGGAGCCAACATAGGACCTTGAATATATCCCATCAGAATTTAGAGGTATCTGAAAAACCGATTTGATGTGTTAGGCCCTGATGACTGAAAACCAGTAAAGTTGTGGTATGACATCTAGTACATCATCTATAAAGAAAGTAAAAAGTCATTAAAAAGACAGTGAAGAAAAAAAAAGAGAGACAGAAATAGATGTCTGAAGAGCCTCTAAAACATGCTCTTGAATGTGACTGGAAGAAATGGGGAAGTAGAAAAGATAAATAGAACATTTCAAAGGCAGCTCGAGAGACAAAGTAAAGAACTGTACCAAGACCTCGAGTTAAGAAAACACATAGGAAAGAATACTCTCAGCATTTCTCAAGCTGAATGAACTGAAAAAAAATAAAATAAATATCAAGCCTCTGGTTGCAATATTGATGGATTCTATGGGAAAAAGATTGAAGGATTGAAGCATGCTGGAAACATCAAATGAATATGGAAGGAACACACAGAACCACTATACCAAACAGAATTGATTGCTGTTCAGTCATTTCAAGAGGTGTCACATAAGCAAGAATTGATTGTATTGAAAGAATAAATCGAAGATTCACTGAAAGCATTGGCAAAAAAAACAAAGCCCCAGTAATTGATAGAATGAATAGCGACCGAAATGTTTCAGTAAATTGATGCATCACCGGAGGTACTTATTCACTATGCCAAGAAACTTGGCACACAGTTACCTGGCCAACCAACTGGAAGAGATCCATATTTATGCCTATTACAAAGAAAGGTGATCAAACAGATTACAGAAATTATAAATCAGCATAATTAATATCACATGCAAATAAGATTTTGCTGAAATTTATTTAATAATGGCTGTATCACTACACTAAGAGGGAGCTACCAGAAATTCAACTCAGATTCAGAATAGGATGTGGATCTAGGTATGTCATTATTGATGTCACATGGATCTTGGTCCAAAAGCAGAGACTAAAAAAGATGTTTACTTGAGTTTTATGTACTATGCAAAAGCGTTTAACTTTGTAGATCATAAAAAACTATAGATAAAATTGTGTAGCATGGCCAATGTATGAGAGACAAAGTCTCTGCTATCCGGACTTCTAAGGGGCATTCTGGCTATTACTTCTATCACAGATATTTTTGTTCTTTTCCATCATTATAACTCAAATGCAACAATTCTTCTATGTTCTTTCTTAGACATTGTCTAACTTTCTTAGGTATATGAGGCTATTGAAAATACTATGGCTAAGATCAGGGTCACCTTAGTCCTCAAAATGATATCTTTGTTGTTGGACACTAAATATGTCTTATGAAGCAGATTTGCTGGGATCAATGTGTTATTTAATTACTTGACTTCTGCTTCCATGAATAATGATTGTAGATCCAAGCAAAATAAAGTTTTTGACAGCTTCAAGCTTTTATTCATCTATATTATGTTATTTATTGGTCCAGTTATGAGGACTTTTGTTTTCTTTATATTGAGATACCATCCATATTGAAGGCTGTACTGTTTGATATTTATCAGTAAGTATTTTCAATCCTCTTCACTTTCAGCAAGCATGGTTATTTCATTTGTATATCACAAATAACAATTGAGTCTTCTTTCAATCCTGATATCATGTTCTTCATATAATCCAGCTTCTTGGATTATTTGCTCAGCATACAGATTGAATAAGTATAATGAAAACCTTTCCTGATTTCAGTACCTCCTTGTTCTGTTTGACCGACTACCTCTTAGTTTATGTACAGCTTTATCATGAGAACAATTAAGTGTTTTGAAATACATATGTTTCACAGTGTCCATAGTTTGTCATGATCCACACAGTCAGATGTATTGTATAGTCATTAAAGCAAGCACAAGTAAATACATTTCTGGTATTCGCTGGTAGCGAAGGTCCATCTGATAAAAACAATGGTATCACTAGTTCCATGCCCTCTTCTAAATATGGATTGAATATTTGGCTTGTCCCTGCTGATGTACTATTGCATCCATTTTAAATTATCTTCAGTAAAATATTTTCATGTGTTTTAATGATATTGTTTGATAATTCCACATTCTGTGGGGTCACCTTCCTTTGGAATGGGCTCAATTATAAATGTCTTCCAATTGGTTGGCTCTGATGAGTGAGTACTTCCAATGCTTCATTAGTTTTTGAAAATTTTCATTTTGTATCCTGCTAATCTCTGGAGCTTTGTTATTCACCAAGGCCTTCAGTGTATCTTGGACTTCTTCTTTCAGCACTATTGGTTCTTGATCATATGCTACTTGTTGAAATGGCTGAATATTAACCATTTCTTTTTTTTTTTTTTTTTTCTTAATATAACTCAACAAAATAAAATTCCAGTTTATTGTTGGACAACATTGTTTCACACATACATCAAACAGGCCAAACAAAATAAACAGCAGCTTAACAGACAAAAAGGAAATGAAACTTTATCTTTGGCCTTTTTTAGCCATCTTATACAAACCAACTCCTGATAGTACAGCTAAGTACATACACAAAAAAAGTTACTGGAATGCTCAGAATAAGATTGTAATTTTTTTTGTTGTTGTTTTTGCTTTTTTCACAAGGTTTTTTCTCCTTTGAGATGATAATGAACATGGTCACACCACAAGTAAAGTCAGAATTAGGACAGAGAACGCTCCAAAGGCTGGTTTGGTCATCCGAGATCATTAAAAATGGCTGACCCCTAACAATATGTACAAAAATATAAAATGTAAAAAAATATATAAACAAATTTTCCTTCTTAAAGTACTTTTAAGGAAAAAAGCAGGGCCTTGGACGTTTTGTTTTTTTTCTCCCCTGTTGCAAATTCACACTGTGGTTTTGCTTGGGTGGTGGTGAGCGCTTGTTATCTGCGGGTGGCGCTGCCCAAAGTGGGCGGGTGGGACTCTCTACTCGAAGGTGACCACGTTTAGATTCGGAGACGGAAAGTGGAGGGTGAATAGGTCACGGTGGCCTTTTTAAATTTAACTTTTCTTTTTTTTGCTGTCTAGTCATCCTCTTCTGTCTTCTGCTTCTTGGTGTCAACATCATCATCGTCACCATCTTCAGCTGCTCGTTTGCCTGTAGCTGCCTCGGCCTCCTCATCTTCATCTCCATCTTCTTCCTCAGCATCGCTTTCGTCCTCTTCCTCCTCCTTCGCCCCACCTTCTTCCTCTTCCTCGTCTACAGCATTGTCAGCCTCTTGTTCCCCATTTTCCTCGTTAGCATTCCCATTAGCGGCTGCGTCTCTTCCATTTTCTGTTTTCTCCACAATGTCCTTCTTCGCCTTTAAGTTCTTGGTGGTGATCTCGGAGTTGGTGTCTACAGCCGCGTCTGACATGATGGGGCACGCTGGTGATCCGATACAGAGGATGACAAAAAGTGTGAGTTCAGGGACTCTGGCGAGAGAGCTGCCGGAGGAGTCTGCAACAGTGGAGGAGAAGGAGCGCTGCGGAGATGGCTGCGGGGAGCAGGAAGCCGACCTGGGAACAATGCAAAGATGACTTTTCAGAGCAGCCAGTGGGTAACCATTGCCTTCTAATACTACGACTTTTATATGCATTCTGTCGTCTCTTAATACTTTCTGCACCCTGGTCGAGTGTTGTTATTGTTAGGTCAGTACCTATTGAGTCAGTACCTACTCATAGCAACCGTATGTACAACAGAATGAAACACTGCTCAATCCTGGGCTAACCTCACTACTGTTGACAAACTTGAGACCATTGATGCTGCAACTTGGCCAATCCATCTCGTTGGGGGTCTTCCTCTTTTTCTCCGACCCTCCACTTTACCAAACATGATATCCATCTCCAGCAACTGGTACCTCCTGACAATATGTCAAAAGTATGAGACATGAAGTTTGGCCATCTTGACCTCTACGGAGCACTCTGGCTGCACTTCTTCCAAAACGGATCTATTGGTTCTTTTGGGAGCCCATGGTACTTTCAATATTCTCCTCCAACACCATAACTCAAAGGCATCAATTCTTCTATGATCTTCCTTATTCACTGTCC